GCAGCTATGATTTGTATTGATGACAACTTTTTCCATCATCATGTTTTAAATGAAATCGGTATTTGGTACATGCTTAATATATGAGAACTAACCAAATAGCAACTAGTATTTTGTGTATTTAAATGATAGGAATAAATTATAAAGCTTCAGCAGTGAAAGATTCCACTTTAATAACCATGTGAGATGTAATATTTGACATGGTTTCAGCTGGTGGAAAAACTAATATCAGAACTCTTCGGAGAATGGGATTTCTGTGTCCTCTTCTTCCTTCGTGTCTGGAACATGACTTGTTACTAAATTCATGTAGGATTAGATAATACTATTCAGTTAGTAAATCACAGGTTTATTAATGAAGGGTAATTAATAAACAACTTCCAGATTGTGTTCACAATTTGCTTGGCATGGCTGGCTGGATAAGGGGCTTGACATGAATGAAAATTGTGGAAGATTAAAACAGGCTGTTCCGAGTGTGATTTAATTATTGATCACAATTAACGATGTTGTCTGTTACATTTATTCCTCTTAATCTCAACAAATGAATTCATGTTTTTCTTGGGAGTTGAGAGATATTTTGAAGCCTCCACATTGTCTGACCATATTTAGCCAGTTTGGCTTTATAATGGATTTAAGAGTGTGGAAGATTGAGATCCAGGAAGTGCTTCGAAGAGGAGTTTTCTATAAATTCCATTTCTTCCATATTTTCTGAAACACTTGTATTCAAGCTAGACATTGCATTCTCAATATGGAACATTGCATTCTTAATATCCATATAAGATTAACTATTTCACATAATTTCAGCTGGTAGAAAAATTGATTTCGAAACTCTTTGGAGAAGGGTGTTTTTCTCTCTTCTTCTGTCGAAAATGTTCATGTGATCAGTATTAGATGCAGTTTTTGGATAATAATGAGAAGATGTGTTATAATGTTTTTTGATCATGTTAATTATTGTAGGCAGAAAAAGAGGAAGCCGTGCTGAAAAAATTAGAGAACGCCTCCAAGAAATTAAAGAAAAAGTACAGTGAAAGAGAAAAGATGGCCAAAGTAGAGCACGCCTTGGACGATCAATTTACAGCTGGACGAGTGCTAGGTCAGTATACCAGTACATTGATGAGATATCTATATACCAGTACATTAATGATATACACTGATTATACATTCTTGATAAACTCATATCAGTATACCAGTATATTGATGAGATATCTAAATACCAGTGCATGAATGAGATATCTAAATACCAGTGCATTAATGAGATATCTATATACCAAGACATTGATGATATAATTTGATGTCGGTCATCCTCGCAATGCCGGGGGTCCTGCGTCAACACGTTTCCATTGGACCCCTGGCAAATTTCATTCAATATTTTGTGGGCTGACTGAACTGACGTCTTTTGGAAAATTTACAAATTTTGATTTTTTTTCTTATCTTTCAACCAATCACATTAAGCCATTCTATAATAAACAACTTGTAACACATGCATTTGAGTTGTCAACTGAATCCTTATCTAACTATTTATGAAAGCTTTAATTTGATTGGTGCTTCTCATTGAGAGAAGCAAGCCCTTAAATATCGAATGAAATTTGCCAGGGGTCCAACGGCAAAATGTGTTGTTTTTGGACCACTGGCATTGCGAGGATGTGATGTCAGTATACCAATACACTGATAATACATTGATATACTATTACTTTGATGATGGGGCACTTGTACATGGAGCACTGGGTGTAGAATCTTGGGCAGTTCTTTAAAGTTTTATCTAAAATCTTTGTTTATTCCATTTGTTATATATATGGTGATAGGTGACCTTAGATTTACGGTTGTGCAGTGATGAAGATCATGAAGCGAGGAATGTTGTTCAGTTGTCGTTCTGACACTGGTTAACTCATTCCTAAGAAGAGCTTTGTCATAGTTACACTGAGCACATCAAAGACAAAACCAAATTAACTCATTCCTAGGAATAGCTTTGTCATAGTTACACTGAGCACATCAAAGACAAAACCAACCCCGGTTAACTCATTTGTAAGAATAACTGTCATAGTTACACTGAGCACATCAAAGACCAAACCGACGCTGGTTAACTCATTCCTAGGAATAGCTTTGTCACAGTTACACCGAGCACATCAAAGACCAAACCAGAAATTTCATACTGAAGTACATTAAATAACTAAATCTGTTTAATTCATTCCTAGGAATGGCTTGCAAGCCATGTATTGAATTTAAATTGAATCTGATGTCCACCTCCTGTTCATCCCTGTGTCTGTCCGTAACTGAACTTGTGTATATTCACATCAGAGTGTATATTCACATCAGAGTGGGGGTATTACTAGTGAGCATTGGCTCGCAGACTTTTTTTTTTTTAATGAATGAATGTCGAATGATGTTCAGAGCTTGTTAATTCGATTTTGCCAGTGGGACTAATTGATTTAGGAAACTCTTATTTGACTGTTTACAGAAAAGCTAAACCAGCAAGCATATTATGTTAACTTAGATCCATGAGATCATTTATTCACTTCCAAAATGATGATTTCTGATGATGAGGTTGTTCGGATTCCCCTTCATGATTTTGTGATTGACAAAACGAACATCTGATAGATTTCATCAATTGTCAGTGTATTATGTCTTGGTGATTTGGAATGGATGGTTCTTCATATGAGGCATTGTGATGGATACTTAGCCAATATGTACAGTTATGATCTCAAACAATATGCTAGCCTAGCCCCTACATAGGAAAAGCTAGCACGAATATTTTCTGCTAGGTATCAAATGTTAAAATGACTACCTTAGTTACTGCTTTGCCTCATAAAAAACATAATTTAATTTTCTCCATCTCAGGTAATAAAGTTTACTTGCAAATTTCCTTTCAACAACAGTACAAGATGAAATTATATAGAACCATTGTTTAGCAAGCAGTGATTTTGCTCTCTCTGCAGACATTTAATATGCATGTGTTTAATGAACAGTATTTTCTTTCCAACCGAGAAAATAGGGAAAGTTTTACTGAAAATGCTCAAATTGTGCTTTAAATGATCGATATTTTAGTGCTTTCAACACTCCAGTATTATAGCCCATCACTCTTTGCTGTTTCAGTGTTATTATAATGCATTATGAAACCTTCCCAGAGTGAAACATAAAGTCTGTATTTGGAGAGTACAGTCATCATGGCTGATACCCCCTGCTGATGCAGATACACTTAATCAAAAACCATCAAACATGGGAAATTTCAAATTCAGTTTTGTTTTGTTTTGTATAAAGGGAGTAGCACATCTTGCTAGGCTTCGAGTCTTTTTGTATGACTTGTATGAGTCTAAACAGTGTGCTCAAATTAAATCAGTTTGTCGCTGTTCATGTCCATATTGACACTGAACTTGAATAAAGAGCTGAAACATTCTACTCCTGTTTTATTATACCATACAATTGGAATTTTTAGCAAAACACAAATTTAGCAGTTTTCCTAAAAATCGGGATTTAATTTTAGCGAGAAGTAAAATTTTATGGTGCATAGCAAGTTAATGGTAACTTCTAATGCGGAATAAATTATTAGAGATATTTAATTTTAGGGACCTCGGCACGCTCACTAAAAATGACAAAATTGAATCCTCACTAAAATTTCTGCTTATACGGTAGTTGATGTACAAATATGAAATAATGCTATATTTTCTCGACTTATTTATGCATTTCAAAGCACTGTTCAAATGTTGGAAGGCAATATGATGAATATTTTTGAACCTGAGGTGCTTGTCACTACATTCAGGAAAATTACCGGATTCTGATTTCCTTCATCTTCAGTTGGTAATAGAAAGTTGTTAGAAAACTTGTAAATGCTTATACATATACTCGTATCTTTCAGCTAAAGTGGCATCCCGCCCAGGACAGTGTGGCCGATGTGATGGATACATTTTGGAGGGAAAAGAACTCGAGTTCTATCAGAGAAAACTTAAGACGAAAAAGGGAAAATAAACATGTGATGCCATTATTTAAAATAAATTTAAAAAAAACTTCATTACTGTTGTGTATTTAATAAAGGAGTCAAAGATCTCCAAAAGCAATAAGTTTAAAATAAAAATATGAATGTTGACATAAGTCATTTGTATGAAAAGTATATGAGGATTAGGGAACAAGACTTAGCTTTAATCTTGAAATATGTGCAGTTGCATAAATTAGTGCAGAGAATAAGTCATCTGACCTAGAAGTAAAGTGGGCATGAAATTTGACTAATTGACAGAAATCACCCTGGGTAAATGAGAACAAGCAGTTGTGGAAATGTGAACATGAACAGAAAGGTTGCTGTTTCTGGGATTAACGAGGTTGGATCCTGATATTTAAAGTCTTAAACTTTTTTTGTCAAGTTTATTTTTAGTTTGTACACACATAGCTTAATTAGAAATCGAAACAAAAAATGGGAGTCAGTATGCTTCTTTTGGCGCTACAGTACATTTAATATGACCTTTTTGCACTGAAATTTGTGTCTTGATCAAAAATCACATCTTCGATGTTTTCCCTCCAATGTTTTTATATAAATAAATCATGGGACAAAATAAACTATTAGCCTATTTAAAAAAGACCCTTTAAATTTGTGACTAAGAAAAAGTTTCAAATTGCTTCGCATAATCAATTTGACCTTTCTGCACTCAAAAAATGTGATTTTTCCAGCATTAAAAACTTAACAAGCAAGAAAATTACTTTAAAGTCTTAAACTTTTGCTGAATTTAGGCAGATTGATCAAAGTTATCTTATATATTCAGAAAAGAAAAAAAAAGTGGGGGTCTATGATGTAAATTTTTAGATAAAACTAAAAAAGTGTTAATTTTATGTTAAAATTAGCTAAATTTTTTTCTTGGACTTTCAGAATATATTTACTATATTTGTTACAATATAATGAAAGAATTCATAAGAAATAATTTAATTGATATTTCAGAACCAGCATAAAACATTTCACTGCAAAAAACAGCTCTGTGTGCAACCAGCATGGAAAAATAGGAATCTAAACGGCTTGGCCAAGATCAGGTGCCCATTTCCAACTAAATGAAGTTACAGGCCTGTAGGAAGCAATTTCAGTTTGGGGGGGCACAGCCAAACATTTTTCAGTTGACAGTTGAAGGGGCACTACTAAAAATTTTCTGACAAGCAAAAAAAAAAAAAAAAAAAAAAAAAAAAAAGGTCATCAGGCGGTTTTATTGAGGGGGCACATGCTTATAGTATCTATGTTTACTATAGTAATCTATATATCGGCAAAATTATTGGAGGGGCACGGCCCCCCCGTGCCCCCCCCCCCCCCCCCCCCCGGTTCCTACGGCCATGAGGTATATAGATGTAACTCTTTATAGTTACATCTAATCTAAATGTCTTTTGTTGCATTGCAAAGATCAGAATGAGAGTTTTCCATTGGTATATAATATCATATATACAGTATCTGCATTTTTGAAAAAACAACAGAATAAAGTCAAAGATTCATAATTTTTGAAGCGTTATGCTGTTGCACTTGATTTTTTACATTTTAAATAATGGTTAATTAAAATTATTTTGAATGAAACATTCCAAAATAAATGTACTTTATTATAGAGAAATCATTCTGGTTAAGTTTATTTTTTACAGAAAAGAAAAAGGATAAAAAGTGTGGAAATTATGAATAAATGTGTGCAGATATACCTTTGTTATATAATTTAAGATTTATCAATGTCTGAATAAATGATTAATTTCTATCAAAAAAGAGCAAATATAATATGTTTAAATTTTTTTTATTTAACTTAAGAAAAGAAGTACTATGAGAAAAATATAGTGGTTATATTGTAAAATGTGTGCGCATTTTATATTTTATTCTCCATACTTGTCTAATATTTTGTATAGTCCGTAGCCCCATATTTCATTATAATTTGTGTTCAACAAAAGAATGTAGAATTAATCATGCTCTTGTTTAATATTTTCACAGTTACCAGTAAAGAAAAAAAACTAATGAATAGCTTTTGCGCTAACACCAAAAGAAGTTATAGAAGAATGATTGGTGTCCGTAGCCCTGTATAGTCCGTAGCCCCAATATAATAAAATCCAGAAAAAGTCATATACATTATTGATACAATAACTACAATACAAAAATATGTTTATTCGAACAAATGCAATGTTTTAAAATACAAATACCACTGTAATTAAAAATAAAAATATCTGAAAATTAACATTTTTCAACCTAAAGGCTTGCCTCTGTAGTCTGTCCTGTTATGTTTGTGGTCACAACATATTTCTAATTATACATGATAAAGTTTTCCTTCTTGTGATACATACTATCAATCCATTTACAATGATTAGCATTGGAATATTTTTAAAAGAATATTTAGCCACACAAATCCTACTTACAAAAGGGCTACGGACTCTACAAAAAAATTTAGCAAATTTACAGACCATATAACCGTCCTTCTGTATTAGCAAGAGATTTTTTTCCTACTGCAAAATGGGGATTCAATGGTTCATTAGTTCTCATCGACCAGTCTTAAAATCCATTTGTGGGATTTGATCCCAAAACATAAGGATCAACTCCTTACTTTGCAATTTAGTACAAAGTGAGGCCTTCACTCTTATAATTACGCCACCCAATCTACTTGTCACTGAATTGTTAATTTAAAAAAAAAACATTGATTCTTTATGGGTAAATATTGAACTATTATGTTTTTTACTTCAAATGGTCAATCATGTTTGCAATTTATTAAAAAATTTTTAATTATACCATATGATTATGATAAATTATATACACATACTGATACAACTTTTGAATGACCATCTTGAGTTATATGCATTACATTAAATCGAAAAAAAAATATGAAGCAATATAGTCCGTACCCCCCCCCCCCCCCCCCACACACACACACACACAAATCATGCCTTAAATTGATTAATTTCGGCTCCTGTTGCTTTTATTCATTATAGTTTGAACTGGAATTTCATTTGGCATTGAAAGTACATAGTACTTAAGACAATCGATTTTTCAGTATGGTATTATAAATACTCACTCTAAGTGGTGTAAACTGTTATAGAAAACCAATTAATAAAAAAAAATTGCCCAAAATTGAATTAAACAATTATATTTTCTTTAAGGTGATTGTCCACAATAGAGATATCTAAGGGTATATAGTTCGTAGCCCCCACGCTCACATGAAATTCATCCTTCTTAGATGCTAAATTAAAGCTCATTCTTGGTCTTTAGGTGGTTTTAAACAATATTTTATTATTAAATCACCAATAACATGTAATTCTGACATGTATTATTTTGTTCTGACTATTTATAGTTTACTCTTATTGTGAATTTATATAAAGTTTTTGTTTTATTTTGTTAAATTTCACAGGATTTTGTATAAATTGATTTAATATCCAACTGAAAGGATTTATTAAACACGTGTGAACTATAAGATGATAATTTTAACAAATATTTACTGAAAAAAGCAACTATTTTTCTATGGTCTCTCATTAAGTGAAAATACTACCGTAAATCTGGAAATTTTTACGTCGATTTATTTTTGCGAATCTGGGTTAAAAGTCTGTTGCTTAATTTTTACGTTTAAAATTTTTGAGAATCGTCATTTGAACTAAAATATGAAAAGCTCTTAAAATTTTCTTAAACGTTTGTAAGTTACGCATGTACATACAATAAATTACGAATAAACATACAATATTAAACTACGCCAACGTTCAATAATCAGATAAAAATATTAGAAAAGATAAATCATCCAAAGTGTTGAACATTTTCATAACAGTTTCATAAATCACACATGTACATAAAATATTATAACGATATAATCTTTAAGTAATCTTCAGATAAAAACATTTTTTGTTGTTGATTTATTTTTAAGAAAAATATTTTTGCGAATGCAATGCGTGCGCAAATTTGCTAAAAATTTATCTACAGCAAAAATTTCCAGATTTACGGTATATGTATAGTCCGTAGCCCAAGGTCTCAAAATAGTCAATCAAAAAATACCTGACTCAGTTTTTCTCTGAGTATTACCAAATATGTTTGAAATTTTCATCCCCATATACAATATCTTTAGAAAAATTGAATTAAAGTACTTTAATGTATTTTTATTTCAAAAGTCCAAATATTAAGAGTAAAAAAACTCTCAAAGATTAACAAATTTACCCATGTCCTTTATATACGGTAACATTTAAATGGAAATGAATTATATGAATTTTTTTGCTCAGACAATATTTTGTGAAGAGTTTGTATTTGAATTATACTTTTTTGTTAAGTTGAATATGATAAAGATAAATGTTATGCCTTAATATGTATAGTCCGTAGCCCACTTGGGTCCCTGCTATAGTAAGAGTGAAATCTTTTTAACCGCTTGACAGAAATGGACAAAAATTTCAGACAATCTGCCAAAAGGATGTAGTGTTACATAGAACATACTTGTAATACATTTCATTTGACTTCATTTTTTTGTCAATTTGCAACCAACATGGGCACCTGATCTTGGCCAAGCCGAAACTTAACAGTACTGTATATATTTCAAAAGGGAAAAATTGATCATTTTCACCTAAAAAACCTTTCGCCACAAAATATAGTTCCTGGCTTAATCCTATCTGAATGGAATTTAATCGCGGTTTTTTCATTGGATATAGTTTATTTTGCATTGTAGAATCCAGATTTAATGTTTGAACTTAAAAATGATGCAGAATTTTATAAATAAAGGTCCAGACCAAAATCTGCTCAAAACCTCCTTAAATCAAATCCATACCTTGCACTTATGTACAGCATAGGCATCAAAGCCACTTGCTCTGTTGCCATAGCTACTAAAAATAGAAATTTCTGTGAAATGCTTTCAAAATGTTACTCCAGTTCTAGTCTGATTTCAATAAAACTTTCTAAAGTATATACTACACTAAGATACATAATTGAATTTGTATGTATCATGTTGAATGGTGTTGCCATGGTTGCTATAAAGACATAGTTCTGTGAAATTCTTTCAAAAGATTTCTCCTCCTACAGTTTTAGTCCAATTGCAATTAAAACTTGCCTTTAAAAAAAGACAAAACTAAGGATCATTTTGTTTATTGCTGTTTCTTAGTTGCTACTTTTTAAAGCAAAAACCAGTAGAGCTACTGTCTCTTTAGAGACTTCTGCGTTAAAAGAAATTCAAATAAGTGCATGAGATTTGTACGTGTGTATATTAATTTTAGTCTTGAGAGTGAAGCAGCTAAAAAGGAGTTCTAACTTTTAAGCTCGAAATGGATATACCATTCCTCCATCCCCAAAATTTAAGGCTTTTTTCCAGATCTCTTAAACTGTCTTTACCAACATCAACCATTTTAATCTGTTGTTCGAAGAACAAGAAATTTTAATGGTGTGGCCCAATAAGGCTGGGAAAAGTGTAATAGTAAGTTGTCATTGTCCCACTGGGTCTGCAGATTATTTAATACATAACCAGCAATATATGATAATTATTAATCTATCTATACATGTACTTCTATACAACTAAAAGAAAACTATTTCCTTGAGTATTTGTAAGAGCAATAAAACCTTGAATAAAATGCAGAAAATGATCCCTATGTCAAGAATTTAGGTCAAGGCAGGGCTAAGTTTGAAAATGCATTGGGTTGTTAAATTTAACTTGCACATGGATAAATAATGAAGGTAACCTGATGCGAGTATTTATCCCCAGGGCATTCTGCCAATAAACATATGTAGCCTAGTAGTACATAGAAATTCTTCAGTGTCATGTCACTGGACTTTATAGAGGTCATTTTAATTCTAACCTAGAATATTCCTTCAAGAAAATTGCTGTAGAAACAGCTAGTCTGGTAAGGGGAATAATTAATGAATTCCATGATGGCTTGTTATTCATAACCCCCCCCCCCAATTTGGAGAAAGTGAGGACAATTTCTTTACCCAATATTTCATTTAAAGTAATTTTTAGCTCTTCTGAGCCTAAGGCTCAAAGAGCTAATGCTATGGCCATTTTGTGCTGTGTGTGTGTAAACTTTCTGGAAAATGGGCCATATCTCAAGAACCCCTTAGTCAATTTTTTTTTCAAATTTGTCACAGAGTATCCTTGGCCCAAGGGCTTTTATTTATACCAAAACTAGGGATGTGTCCCTTAAACAAGGGGAGATAATTAGGGAAATAAAAACAAAAGTAGTGGTTGCTAAAAATCTTCTAAAGAACCACTGGGCAGAATATCACCAAACTTATATACAAGGACGAGGATATTTTGTAGATTAAAATTTGCACGGGGAATCGCCCTGGGGCAAAGGAGGGCGTTGTCTCAAGGTCACTTCAAATTTGACCAAAATTTATGTTTCGTTTAATCTTTTATATTTTGCCCACCATAAGGCTTAGGATCATCAAATCTTGTCAGTTGATGCATCTTTGGATCTCATATCATGTTGACTCAAAAGTAGATCACGGTGACCTACTTTTCGAATTTTGTGAGTATTCTATTTAATTTTGATGCCTATTTTGGATACTTTGAAGCCTATGATCATCAAGACTTGTCAGTTTATGCATCATGGGACCTTGAAGTGTATCAACCAAAAAGTAGGTCACCATGACCTACTTTCTGAATTTTATGGCTTATCATTTTCTAAACATTAAAGGTCATTTTTAGATACTAAGAAGTTTAGAATCATCAAACGTAAGTAGATGCACCTTGGGGCCTTAAAACAGATTTATCAAAAAGTATGTGACCTACTTTTGGACATTTTCAAATTGTTTTAGGGGCATATTTTAGACACTTTGAAGCATAGGATCAATAAACTTAGTCAGCTGATGCATCTTGAGTCCTCAGAGTGTGGCAACCAAAAAGTAGGTCACCTTGACCTACTTTTGCAATTTCATGGCTTAATTTAAATATTTCATATACTAATTGGCTTAGAATCATCAAACTTTATCAGTTGATGCATCTCGAGTCCTCAGAGTGTATCAACCAAAAACTAAGTCACTGTGACCTACTTTTGCAATTTCATGGCTTAATTTAAATATCTCCGATACTAATTGGCTTTGAATTATCAAACTTCGTCAGTTGATGCATCATGGGTACCCAGAGTGTGTCAACCAAAATGGAGGTCACCGTGACCTACTTTTGGAATTGGATGGCTATTTCAGTTACTAATTGGCTTAGAATCATCCAACTTTGTCAGTTGATGCATTTTGAGTCCTCAAAGTGTGTCAACCAAAAAGTAGGTCACTGTGGCCTATTTTTGGAATTTGATGACTTTTTCAGATACTAATTGGCTTAGAATCATCAAACTTTGTCAGTTGATGCATCTTGAGTCTTCAGAGTGTATCAACAAAAATGTAGGTCACTGTGACCTACTTTTGCAATTTCATGGCTTAATTTGAATATTCCAGGTACTAATTGACTTGGAATTATCAAACTTTGTCAGTTGATGCATCTTGGGTACCAGGAGTGTGTCAACCAAAAAGTAGGTCACCATGACCTACTTTTATGGATTTTGATGGCTATTTCAGATACTTATTGGCTTAGAATCATCAAACTTTGTCAGTTGATGCATCTTGAATCCTCGGAGTGTATCAACCAAAAATTAGGTCACATGTGACCTACTCTTGCAACTCCATGGCTAAATTTAAATATTTCAGATATGTATTGGCTTGGAATTAAACTTTGTCAATTGTTGCCATGCTGACCTACTTTTGGAATTTCAAGGCTTTATCCTTATATATAGGTTACCAAGAGTTTAAAACAGATGAGATTATAGGTTATACAATTTTCAAAAGAGCGATTCTAGGCCCTTGGGCCTCTCGTTTTCCTTCAAACTTGGTAAAAAAAAAAATGGCTTATCTGTACACATTCATTTTATTTTTTTTATACATGTATATACAAATTAAGTGAATAAAAATGCTTTGCATACATATTAAACAACTTTATATTCATTTTTTATTGGTACAAAAATATTATCAAGAGATATTTCTTTACATATTTTACAAGAATTACCAAAATTCATGACAACCATAAATTTGATGAAAAATATACTTATTTTGGACATTCAACATTTTATCAATATTTCTTCATTTTTAATTTTTCAAAATACTCTCCAAAATCCCATTTCTAATTCCTAACACTTAATTTTCAAAATGTGAAATTGATTCAAGTTCTATAAGACACCCTATTGCTACTTCATCTTGTAAACATCATGATAACATGCAGCATGCTAATTAAGCTGTATTTAATTGGAATGATTAGTTACAAATGTGAACTTATGGAATTACAATGACCAGCATTTGTAAGAAAGCCCCTCTTAAAGTAAGGGGCACCAAGGGGGCACAATATACTTATGACAATTTACACAGGAATGCTTCTATCCAAATAGCTAGTGCAACCCCCACAAAGTTCCAAAATGAGACAATGGCTCTTAGCAAAAAGTTACCAAGTCTCTGCAATACAGAAAGCACACAGAAATGTTCCACATATTTTTGAATGAGGCATGAATTATTGACAGGTACATAAAAGAATACAATAGATTATGACCATTATACCACTGAAAAAGATGGATACTTCCTACGACATTTATCACCTCTCCAGTATAATATCAACACCTTTATCCTGAGTCAGAAAAATACACACACCAAGAATAATACTTCAGAATGCTCTAATTGCAGAATCCATTCTCTGTGCCATTATAAATACATTTTATTTTAATTTTGTTACAAATACATGTACGTGTTAAAGTACAGTTGAACTTCATTATCTCGAACACTGATATCTCGAATACCTGGGATATCTCAAAGTGATTTGGCAGTTCAAAGCATGTTTTCTTTATTTTTTGTACCCCCATTATCTTGAATACTCAGATATCTGAAAGTTTAATCTTGGTCTTCTGGTGTTGAGATAATGAGGTTTGACTGTATATATCAATACTGAATACATAATTCTCACCAGTTGTTATCCAATCATGTTGAATAATTCATATCTTTCTTGTGCATATTAAATTATAAAAATCTTCATTTCAGAAAGGAAGTTGATTAAAACTTTGAAATATATCTGGGGATACCTGTGAGATCACAAAGATTGAGTAGCAGCACTGATAATACAATACGGTGGTCTATTTCTGTACACTGCTCCATGTAGTATTAGGAACTACCTCTACACAATACTGTACAGTTTGGTTTTTAAGTACAGACTTCTTGGAAATTAAGTACAAGGAGATAGGAATACACATTTCATTCCAGAAATAACAATAGAATTGATCTCAATGTATGGGAATTAAACATTTCTAATTATTTATATACATACCACCATAAGTTACCATGACAAAGTAAAAATACATCACAGATACAAAATGGCATGAATAGACATTTTTGAAGGCTACGACTGAATAAGTATGAGATGTCGATGAATTATATGTATTGTGCTGCAATAAACTGTATAAGCCACAACAATCTATCATTCCCTGTAGCATTAGTGGTCAACATTTATGTTTGTTCTTCTCTGTGTGCTCTGAATTGTCTGCCCTTAGTCATAAGACTTGAACTGTCCCTGAAAGTAGAATTTCACATATATATGAATATGAATATATCAGCAAGGAAATTAAACTGCAGAGGGCAAGAGGTAACAGGCCAGTAGGAAGCAATTTCAGACTGGGGGCACAAGAGGCCCAGGGGGTCACATAACTCACCTGAGCACTTTAGATTGAGAAAAGCAAAAACCAGTTCAGTACTGATAAGTCTGAATATTTAAGTGGTCCAACCTTACCTCTTGGGGGGGAGGGGAGTGATGAAACTTGCTTTCAAAACAAGAGGCCCAAAGGCCTTAATGGTCACCTGAGTATAATACAACAATTTAGAGGAAAATAAAATGATAGATGAAGCTTTGTTGTCAAAAAGCATGAGAAATCGGATGATCAGGATCAATGAAATTAGTCTAGTATTCAGTACCAACTCATAAAGTAAGTTCTAATCTGTCCCCTATTTATCACTGTTATTATGCAGACTATTAAAAAATCAATTACTTTTTTAACCCCACTAGATGAAATCCCGCGCAAGCGCGGGGAATTGAATCTATACTACTACCGACAGAAAATATTTTGTAGTTTCTACTGACAGCCTACAGGCTTATAGCAGGAAGAAATACTTTGTTCAAAATCTCGCTCGAAGTAAATGTACGTCTCCATCCCCCACCCCCCTTTGTAAAAACTTGAAAATTTAACAATTTCATTAATTGACGTTTATTGTGAAACCTGTTATACTATGTTATGGATATTGTACTTCAGATGCTCTCATTTCATTTCTGTCAAGGATAAAAACACTGAATCTGCACAGTATTTGATACAAAAGACTGTTTTCAAAAAAAAAAAATTAAAAAAAAAATGAAATGTATTAATTGATTAAAGCACAAAATTTTACATCTTTAATTGTTTTTGAACAATACCTTATTCATTAATTTTCTCTTTACATGTAAGCAAGTTTATTACGAAGTACAAATTGTACTTCGGGTTCGTTGTCACGACGCTCTCAGTAAGGAATATATACACATTTATTAGGAAAACCTACTACATACATGTATATATATGTAATGGTCTTTCGATATATAAATATATTCACAACTTATAGTGTTATCAATGATTTACCATTATTTCAATGACCATTCACACAAAAGCTTTTTTCAGCTATATAAGCGCCTCGGTTTTTTAACATCGGGCTCGATGCTATATGATGTTCTAGAAGCTTCCGTCAATATTAAGATCGGTGAATGACGAAAATAATTTGCATATTTCCTTTTTTAATCGGTTATCACAACTTATTTCTTTTATATCATTTAAATCAAGTTTTGATTGAATAATTCAGTGATGACGTTTTATGAAATAAATAAACGATTGCTTGTTGTCAGTTTCATCAAAAATTGCCAGTAACTTAGATCCGCCAACCGGAAACGCCACCGTACTCACGTTTTTGCTATTTCATGGCTGTTTACAGGAAATAAAAGTAGACTTTTAATTTAATGTACGATTCTTACTATGCAAGTGAAATCTAAATATAGTTTACGGACATCATCTTGTATCTAGTGTATTGTTAGAGGAGTAAGTAAGAACTCTGGTGCACCCGTTTCGGAGTTTATTTGCAAAATTTATTAATTTATAAGTATAGATGAGATATTATGACCTCTCACATTGGCCTTTTCATGATCCTTAAGAACATTTAATAAGATAAGTTATTTTTGTCTCATTTTTATTTATCTATTATTTACAAGTCTACCTGATCATTAATGATCATTAAAACTATAGAAGTACTTTTTGTATTATATAATAAAAAAATCTTGTATAATTCTCTTATTCTATTAAGTATTTTTCAAATACATTATTTATAGTGATTATCAAATTTTTAAGTGAATGGCAAAGGGGAATAACTTCTCTCAGTAGAATATAAATTAATAGAGCCCTGGCCAGGACCAGAACACTTGACCAAATGGTCCAGATGTTCAAAAATCTGGTAAAAATACCCTTGCTTATTAAAACTTTTACTCTGTTTGCCTCCAATATGCCCAGGAGCAAAGAGAATTTTCAAAGTAATGCATTTTCACTACAGATTCAACACAGTCCACCCTAAACCAGAACCCACAACCCAGGTCATGAAGAAGAAGGTATAGTTTTGGCTTTATTGTGGCCTAAAATTTTAATGTCTTCAAAAAGTTTTGAAACTGGCTTAAATATGAGCTAAGTACAATGTATATGATTGTGTTGAGTCATGAAAGAATATGGCATGAAGGAGTACAATTCTGGAGATATGACATCATTCATTTGATTCATTTCTCTGTTTTCAATAGAAAAAGCCTCAAAATGGCCAATTTCAAGGGTTATTTTCTTTAAGAAAAGAATGTCCACAGCCATCGCCCACTTTTAATTTAAATATCACAATATGAACAAGAGGCCCATGGGCCACATCGCTCACCTGAGCACATTGGCTAGGCAAAAGCACAAATGAGTTCAGTATTGAAAAGATTACCAACCGGGGGGGGGGGGGGGGGGGGGGGGGGGCTTGAATTTTAAACTACCTGATGTTGCTTCCATGTCAATATAACAAATGGCTTTCTTGTACTTGAGAAGATGTTCAAAAAAATTTCCCATATATTCCTTTGTAAAAATTTGATCCCCCATTGTGGCTCCTCCCTATCCCAGGGGTTATCATTTGAACAAATTTGAATCTACATGTACACTACCTGAGGATGCTTCCATATCAATATGACTAAACATAGCTTTTCTGTTCTTGAGAAGAAATATTTTTCTAATTCTTCTTAAGTAAAACTTTCGATCCCCCATTGGGCCCCATCCTACCCCAGGGGGTCATCATTTGAACAAAATTGAATTTACACTACCTGAGGATGCTTGCATATCAAAATGACTAAACATGATTTTCAGTTCTTGAGAAGAAGATATTTTCCTATCTAAAATTTTCTATCCCCCATTGTGGTCTGACCCTATCCCCAAGGGTCACCATTTTAACAAAATTGATCTACACTACCTGAGGATGCTTCCATATCAAAATGACTAATCATGGCTTTGCAGTTCTTCAGTAGAAGATATTATCCTATATATTTCTATTTAAGACTTTGATCCTCCATTGTGGCCCCACCCTACCCCCAGGGGTCATGATTTGAACAAACTTGAATCTACACTACCTGAGGATGCTTCCACATGATTTTCATCTTTCCTGGCCCTGTGGTTCTTGAGAAAAAGATTTTTAAAAGATGCTATTAATTTTTTACTAATTCTCTATTATCTCCCCTTGAGAAAGGGCGTGGCCCCTCATTTTAACAAACTTGAATCCCCTTCACCCAAGGATACTTTGTGGCAAGTTTGGTTGAAATTGGCCCAGTGGTTCTTGAGAAGAAGTCGAAAATGTTAAAAGTTTACAGACAGACAGACAGACAGCTAGACAGACAGACAGACGCCGGACAAAAAGTGATCAGAAACACTCACTTGAGCCTTCGGCTCAGGTGAGCTAATAACCTTAAGGAGGTCAAGTGAGAAAAACAATTTGTCTGAGCTTACTGCATGAGATGCTATATGCTATATGCCAAAATTGGTTGAAATTGGTTCAGCAGTCCCAGAGAAGAAGCTGAAAATGTTCCAATGTTAATGCACATCACACGACAACAGATGAAATATAATTTTTAAAGGATGACTGCACTTAAGGACATGCGGAATTTGCGACAAAATAAACTTTCAAAACAAGCATTTTTCTTTTCATTGCAAGAATGGTCAACATCCAATCTACAACTTTATGTAATTACGTTTAATAAAAGTGTATTTACTAAGTTCGAATCTGTTTTCAAAGGCAGGGGTCATCACAATTTCTTAAATCTCCGTTCGATAATGAGGACGCCCACTTTTTTACTAACTTTATACATAGTCAGCGCATGTTTGTCTATTGTTCTACATTTAACAGTAGTTGTATATTTGCATAAATAATAATGTGTCAAAAGGAGATTAATAGACAAACATGCACTCAGGGTTAAAAAGAGAAAAAACTGCTTCTTCTTACATTCGCTCTCTGTGTTGTAACCAAGGATTGTGATGTTGAATGTTATAATTCACCACGTGATTTCTTGCCTCAGGTAACTTTGTGAATACTAAATTCCTTCACGCGACTTGTAAGGTAGCATGTTTTGTACTAACTAGGACACTGTGTTCGAACACGTTAAGTCATCTGGCATTGATATAAAATCTGCTTTAATTACATTGATGTGCTCATATTGTTAATTTCGTTTTGAAACCTTTGTCAGAAGTGTATTTGTGCCATACAGAATGGAGAGAGAGATTGGAAAGAGTGATCACGTTTGCTTTTCCAAACAAGTCATTGTTATTTATCAAGTCTAATTTTAGACCCATTCTTACAATGTTAGCTCCACCTCTCATGCATATATAATGTTCAATCAAGGACAGGTAAGTGTGAATTCACTATATTTGGAAAGCAATAAGGACAAAAAACTGAATCATTTTACTGTATCACAGTCTAAAATCATTTTAAGATTTAAATGTGGTTCCAAATTGACAGCATTCTTTCATAAACATACAAAAGTGAGATAAGGTTTAGATATAAAAGCAACAGAAGCTACTAAAAAAGACCCAAAAACAGGCATTAAGTGCAGTCATCCTTTAAAGATATTTCCCCACCCTACCATCTGGGATCATGATATGAACAAACTTGAATCTACACAACCTGAGAATGCTTCTGTATTAATATGACTACCAGTAATCATGGCTTTTCTGGTTATCAGAAGATGATTTTTTAAGATATTTCCTATATATTCCTATGTATAACTTTGATCCCCTACTATGACCCCACACCCCAGGGTCATGATCTTAACAAATTTGAATCTACACTACCTGAGAATGCTTCTGATATGACTAATCATGGCTTTGCCGTTTTTAAGAAGATTTTTAAAAATATTTCCTATAAGTTTCTGCATAAAACTTTGATCCCCTGTTGTGACCCCAGCCCAACCCCAGGGGTTATGATTTGAACAAACTTGAATTTACACTATGTAATGCAGCTTTCATGTAAAATTTATTTTTTCTGGCCCAGTGGTTATTGAAAAGAAGATTTTTGAAATATGCCATAAAATTTTCACTAATTCTTAATTATCTCCCCTTGGAAGAGAGTGTGACCCTTCATTTGAACAAATTTGACTCCCCTTTACCCAAGGATACTCTGTGCCAAGTTTGTTGAAATTGGCCAGTGTTTCTGAAGAAGAAGATGAAATTGTAAAAAGTTAATGACAACAATGACAAAGACAGACAGCGGACAGATTTTGATCAGAAAAGCCCACTTGAGTCTGCGGCTCAGGTGAGCTAAACACATTTCCCGAACATTAAGACTGTAACTACGTTCATCATCTTCATTTGAATTATGCTTCTATATGGAATTGTGTACAAGTACATGCACAAAGCTCATTCAATTCACAGACATGAAATTACATCCTGTTAAATCATCATGTATATTTATTTGTACACACAGAAGATACATTGTATATGTATATTTTTGCCATCATCCATGAAAAAAGCTCTCAAGTTGAACACTTTACAATTTATATTTAAGACAAAGTTAGATATTTACAGAACACGAAACTCTGCAATTGTTAATGAGGGTGCTACAATTACCATATATTTGAAGCATCAAGTTCTAGTACTTTGGAATATTAATCAAAATGTATACTTTGGATATAAATAAGTATAATATAATGATTAACTTCAAATCAAACCAATACTTTTCCTGTATTAATATCTATGAAACAGGACTCTATACAAAGCATGAGATTCATGCAACATGCCCGAAAGCTGCACATTAGTCAGACATAATATTAGGGTTTATACGAGCATATACCTCTGGAATAAGTTTGTTCTCCTGAAAATACAAATAACACTTAGTGTTAAACATTCTCCATTACTATAACAGTTTTTAGTCTGGTATCTTCTGTTGTCCAATCAGATAAGCCTGGCAGGACTATTCTGGTGAGAGCTTGATAGACTACTCAATGGGGTAATTCTGATAATGTGTGATACTGAATATATTTTTGCCATCTATAAATGGCTGTGCATATAGATAGTGATCCATTCTTTTAATATGCTATAAATAGAAGTAGCATTTTCACTGACCTCATTGACTTCCTGGTTGGACGGTTCTTCGTCGTCATCAGATGAGGAATCACCGGAAGAATCGTCTATAGCATGAGTATCTACAAAATAAACAACCATCTATAGCTTGAGTATCTACAAAATAAATAATTATCTATAGCGTGAGTATATACAAAATAAACAGTCATCTATTGCTTGAGTATCTAGAAAATAAACAGTCAAACATTTTCAAATCTATTCACAACATTACAGATTTATCATACAAAGTATACTCACTTATTTGAACTCTTACTATTTACTCAGTACAATACAAAATGTACTCACTAGTTCCAACTGTTCTGTGGATACTTATTAATACAGTACAATATAACTTATTTCCTATCCAGCTTGTAACATGATATTTAATTGGTTAGCAAGCCGGAGGTAAATTTCCATACAAATGGCTTGAGCCAGGGGTAAATAACATGACTTCACAATGCATAGTTTCTCTATCATAAAAAGCAAATAACATGATGTCACGATGCATTGTAATGTGAATCTTATCGATAGTTTGAAACACAGGTTTAAAAAATATTTATTTGGTTAAAAAGGATATAAATTTGTAATCCAGGCAAAATCAAGGGTGTACGGGAATTTACCCCCATTGTATTCCATACGCCCTTTGGCCTCAGGGTGTATAGAATACGACCTGGGGTAAATCCCTGTACACCCTTGATTGAACCTGGATAACTAAGAATATACTCACTCTGAGGTGGTACTGCTAGTTTAGTGTCAGACAAGGTTTGATAACAAGTCAGACACACACGTAATGGTTTGGAGGACTGCTGTGGTAGGAGCCATTTATTACTGGAACAGTCCTTACACACTACAATACCACACTTCCTACAATGATGCTGAAATACCAACATTAACTCAACATTAAAATTAGTTTATATTTCAATGAACAGATAAATAGAAACTATATTTACAAGAACATAACAAATCCTGTATTCACTTTTAATTATTTCCCCCTCCCAACACTTTTTACTGAATGTTAATTTTTACTATTAATATTCATTCAAAGGCTGGTTGCCCCCCTCCCCCCTCTTTTTGAGACATCCCTCTTATGTTTATGGACTTTCCTACCCCCTCCCAATAAGATTTGGAGAATTCTCCTTGTCATTTTTTTTCCCTTAAAATACCCCCCCCCCCCCCCCCCAAAAAAAAAGATGCTACATGCTTGTCATTTATTTTTTCTGCATCATACCAAAAACAGATTAAGAAACTCCAAATTACTACAACTGGTCAAGTTTATTGTAACCATGTTCTCTCACTGTTTTGGTTAGGACTTCAGCAAATGTAAACAGAAAGGTGGCATGGTTTGCATCATTTTATTGAATGATATAATAAAATAATTATAATAAAACAATTATTGTTGTTTTTTCAGTCACCATGATGATTTAGCCACCTTTGAAGTACGATGTTCACCTCGCCCTTTGGGTTTAGTGAATATTGTACTCCTCAGGTGGCTTAATCATACTACATGTATTGACCTCAAAAAACAAAAAAACAAAAAAAAAAGCCATAATTTTTTAAGGTCATCATCAACAAATGAAACTGTAAAAAGTAATATTAACTTCTACAGCTATAAGACATTACCCGTCTGTTTATCAGTGTAAACTGGGACTTTTTACAATGCATGCATAGAGTGGCCTCAGAATCAGGAACCCACACAGGGGAATCATTTTCTGTGTTCTGGGTTTTGCCCTCTGAAATATAAAGTTACTTCATTTAATGCACAATCTCAGACAGGAATATACATTCTCAATACATAGAAGATTTTTCAAATGTTGAATATTCTGTGGATTAACAGTTGTTTATTATAGTATTTCTGAATCAGGCAAATTCTTTTTTTTTTTTTAGCATTTTCCCCCCATTTTTTCCCTTGTTTTATATTAGAAATTATTAAGGATGGTTTGGCTGGATTGCAAAATAGTAGCATATTGATGAAACTGTGATCAGTTCTGAGACATACACACTAAACATAACAAGAAGCCCATGGGCAATATTGCTCACTTGAGTACATTGGCTAGGAAAATGCACAAATCAGTTCAGTATTAAAAAGTTTATGGGGAGGGGGGGGGGCTTGAATTTTAAACCTTCCATATCAATATAACAAATGGTTTGGTTGTTCTTGAGCAGAAAATTTTTAAAGATTTTTCCCTACATATTCCTTTGTAAAAACTTGATCCCCAACTGTGGCCCCTCCCTACCCCCTGGGGGTCATGATTTGAATAAACTTGAATCTACACTACCTGAGAATGCTTCCATATCAATATGACTAAACAAGCCTTTGCTGTTCTTGAGATGATTTTTAAAGATTTTTTACTATATATTTCTATGTAAAACTTTGATCCCCATTGTGGCCCCATGCTACCCCCAGGGGTCATGATTTCAACAAACTTGAATCTTCACTACCTGAGAATGCTTCCATATTAATATGACTAAACATGGCTGTGCTGTTCTTGAGACGAAGATTTTTTAAGGGTTTTTTCCTATATATTCATATGTAAAAGTTTGATCCCTGATTGCGGCCCCTCGGGGGTCACGATTTGAACAAATTTGATTCTACACTACCTGAGGATGCTTCCATATAAATATGCCTAATCATGACTTTGTTGTACTTGAGAAGAAGATTTTTAAAGATTTTTTTCCTATAAATTCCTATGTATAACTTTGATACCCCATTGTGACCCCACCCTAACCCCCTGGGGTATTGATTTGAACAAATTTGAATCTACACTGTGTAAAAAAGGTTTCCTGTAATTTTCAAAATTTTGGCCCAGTGGTTCTTGAGAAGAAGATTTTTAAAACATGCCATCAATTTTCCACTATTTCTAAATTATCTCCCCTTGAATGAGGGCATTGCCCTTCATTTGAACAAACTTGAATCCCCTCCAACTAAGGATGCTTTGTAGCATGTTTGGTTGAAATTGGTCCAGTGGTTCTGGAGAAGTCAAAAATGTGAAAAGTTTCCAGGCAGACAGACGAACTACAGACAAAATGTGATCAGAAAAGCTCATGAGCTTTCAGATCAGGTGAGCTAAAAATCAGACAGAACCCTACTATCACAAATCATTTACAAATTCAAGGTCAAAGGTTAAGGCTGTGTTCAAAAGCGACCACGAAAACATCTCTTGATTTACCAAATATGAAAATTTATGTTATATGGAATAGTGACACAGAACAAAGATAAGCACAATATCATTTACAATCTAAGGTCCAAGGTCAAATAAAAGTCACTCTGACAGTAAAATGGAAAACATGTCATGACTAACCCACATTTGTTAACAGATCAGAATATAATACTAGTATATACTAGGTTACCCACAACAGAGGCAAATGCAACAACTCAATAAAGATGTTGATGCAGGCAGATGAATAGATAAATGACATCAGATTTAACTACTTGCTATTCTGCCAATATTAAACTGATACATACATTTTCTGTCTTCATGAGTGCTTATGTTTGGATTACTTAGTATTTGGCCAAAATTTTCAACAATTTTGTTTGGGATGAAAGAATAAATAGTCATGGTGGCAACTGGCTGTATAAGTTTTTAGAGTTCCTTGATGAGGAACATCTCAGAAGAACACTGTGTAAAGATTAAAGACTCTACAAGTATTACAACTGGGCTTTTAAATTACCCACTAACCCAGAATTCATTTCTTATTAAGAACAAAGAGACAAACAAAAACCTGACACTTTTTGATACGAGACATCCATTGATGTGACATGACTTACGTTTTATAAGGAGATCGTCCACACATTTTTTGATACGAGACATCCATTAATGTGACATGACTTACGTTTTATAAGGAGATCATCCACACATTTTTTGATACGAGACATCCATTAATGTGACATGACTTACGTTTTATAAGGAGATCATCCACACATTTTTTGATACGAGACATCCATTAATGTGACATGACTTACGTTTTATAAGGAGATCATCCACACACTTTTTGATACGAGACATCCATTGATGTGACATGACTTACGTTTTATAAGGAGATCATCCACACACTTTTTGATACGAGACATCCATTGATGTGACATGACTTACGTTTTATAAGGAGATCATCCACACACTTTTTGATATGAGACATCCATTGATGTTTCTCTGTAGATGTAGCTGCATACACAACAAAAGACTTGCTAGGACTTATTAATTTCCAGCCATTCCGTAAAGCTGTAAAAGTCAACAATTCGGTCAATGTAAAGCTGTAAAATTCATCAACTTAGTCAATGTAAAGCTGTAAAAGTCACCAACTCAGTCAATGTAAAGCTGTAAAAGTCATCAACTCAGTCAATGTAAAGCTGTAAAAGTCACCAAATCAGTCAATGTAAAGCTGTGAAAATCAACACAGTCAATGTAAAGCTGTAAAAGTCATCAACTTAGTCAATGTAATGCTGTAAAAGTCACCAACTCAGTCAATGTAATGCAATTCAAACCAGTTTTACAGAGTTTACTTTCAACTAAAATGAATAATACAGTATTTATAATATGTAATAATTTTGAACTTTTTGGTTAAATTTCATTTTAAAAATTTGTTCTTACAAAATTATTTACTAATTAATGAATGCAACAGAGCAAAGCTACTAAAGAAAAAAGAATTTTAACTGCATGTGCAGAAATGAGACACACATGTCTAAAACTTTGATATAAAACAAATAAACATTTGCAAAACTGAAATATCTCTGAAAGAAATAAATTTGTAAAATACATATGTTGGATTGTTATCTTGTGATCATAATTGATTAATAAGTGAATTGTAAAGTTAACCATTGTCAATGCCTAGTTAATGGGACCAACATTTATCTGGAGGAAAAAACCTTCAAGACAATAAAACAAACCTGTGGTGCTGACATTTTATGTTTACAATGATATGATGTTGGGTTTTTAAAGGGACATAGCTAGATGATTAATAAAGAGAATTATAACTTATTTTACCACTACTAGATAAAGTAGGAGGTATTTATTTGTAAAATATCAGATTTCATGATATCACAGTTAAATATCTGAGTTTGTGATATTGTATTTTTAATTTTGACTGATGGCTACAATACTATTCATAATATGATAAGTTTGATTGAACGTGTGTATATCGATATTTATTATGCATAGAAACTGCTCTCTTCAAAACTGATCTGCACCTGTGCTATGGTGTAAGCTTGCAATTAGTAATTATGAACTTAACTCAGGAAATCTCCTTTTGTTAGTAAATCAACTAATTACTGAAAATAAACAGAGCTGTAAAACTTTATTAATAATACCTTTGGAAGAATTCACTCTAAAGAATTTGGAAGCTACAAGAAGTTTATAAGATTTTCTATGACTATTTACTAAAGAACTCTAAAAATGATAGTTTTAATAATAACTTCTGAAAATTCTGATTCTGCATTGTTGTTCATTATACATGTACATGTATGTAATTTTTTATCATATATACATCCTACAAGCAGTACTGGTACATTGACACACGTAGTGATGATAGTTTTTGTGCCATTAGTTTAACTTTTAACAACAATTTTACTAGACAATGTAAACTTAATCACACTGCTGCAACCCTAATCATTTTATATCCAAATATCCCAGGCCACAATTGCCCCATAATGTATAGAAGAATGATACAGATTAATAAAAAACACTTGCAATATAACTTTCTTGCATATTTTCCCATAAGTTGACCATTCCCAAATTCAATAACTACTGGATACTATTACTGTATACACAAATGCTAAAATTTGAGATATTTAGATATAGTCTATGATTATATACACCTTTTACAACTACATGTATATGCCAGGAATATATAATTTTTTTTTACAAGTGAAATTTCAAAACTTTATCTACTAATCCCCTAAATCTAAATTACTGTAAACCAACTTTATAGGAGCATAATAACCATGAGATCAAAGGTGTTACTTTTCTTGTGGATAAATTGTCACCATATAAAGATACCAGATATATGACCTCAACATGTACAGTTAATTAGGTCAAGTTACTAATATTAACCCACACAAAAGGTTCCACACCAGCAGTTTACAAAGACTGTGAATAAGAATTGTGTTTACAGTAACAGGTGGAATATGAGCGTACTAAGAGAACACTACACAGCAGGCCATTCTGTACCTGGTTTACCATCTTTTGTGTAAAAAGGACCTTAAAGGGACAAATCACAAAGCAATTTAAATAAATAAAAACCAAATTCATTGAAGACTTTCCTACTTTTTTCAAAACCTCATTTACCAAAGAATCTTTTCAAATTTTTACAAAATAACAAACATCAACCACTATGAACCATTCACAATGTACATTAATTTTGTAAATCATTGCCAATTTCTATTTCATGATATTTCAAATCATAAAATTGTTATTTTTAGTACACATGTACATGTATAAACAGATCAAATAGCCTGGAAATAATATACATACTTCCTTCATCTTGAACATCTTCTAATTTTACATCTTCTAATGATATCACATGTTGCTGATTATACTGCAAGAAATAAAACATATGTACTGTGTACACAATGTGTGTTCATTTTCCTTCACTAATTGTATATCAGTAAATTTTCAGAACACCTTATTTTTGAGAGATAATCATTTGATATTTATAAACAAGACAAAATTTTTATGAATTCATGATACATACATGTATATGTGAGAAAGATATTTTTGCGAGCAGATGGTGTCACATAATAACACGAAAATAAAGTTCTCACAAATAAAAGATGATTTACAGTAATCACAGAAATCTTAAAAATAAATTACATAAATCACCGTATCTACATCTAGAATGCTACATTAGCAAAGATTCCTTTTATAGTAAAATGGTACTCAAGCTTTACAAGAGTAACCAAAAAAAGACTGAGTGTGTGAGTTCAAAATCTTCACATCCAGATCCTAATTCACAGTGTGGCGAGACTTCTGATTTACTCTTAAATCTTCCTCATGTTTGACATATAAGTGTTCAAATATATTGAAAATACTTTAATAAAATTCACCTTTGATTTTTATTTAATACTTGAATTTCAATACCATGAATTCTATCTGAATTGATAAACGTGTACAAATATTCTGCTGCTTTATAATTTTATGTTCCTCTAATCAACAAAGATGATCTAAAGGAATTATGTACTTCTGTAAGAACAGAAATTAAGTTAAAAAAGAATCTTCTGACTAGCATACAAATATTTTATTTTCTTTAAAATAACACAAGATCAATTCCGACTTCAATAAGCAAACCTTTTTACGGTTGATCACAATGTTGCCGTATACTAGAATGTCGTTAAACAGGAAGAACTGTCGAGGTTTGGGTTTCTTTCTGCACATTTTGGTTAAGACTCCCTCTCCCACTAATGCTCGACCTGGGACATTCAGTGGCTGACAAAGAGAGAAATATACAGCAAATTAATTGTACATGTACTATAAATTTGCCCTTTTCTAATTCCAACTGACTTGCCCAACACAAAACTTTTTTGAACTTCCAAGAAACGATTTTTTTTTATTCATTCTCAAATTTCTCAACCTATCAACAACTACACATGTATATTAATTTTATCAATACTTCAATTTCAATAAATTTTGAAAACTCAGCATAGATTTTGAAAATTCAAAAAAAAAAGTCAGTACCTACCTACCAACCTAATTTTTTTTAAATCTTGAGTCGGGAGAGGGCAAACAAACATTTGTTTTAAAAGATGGCCTTATAATATTATTAATTTGGTGTCCAGTCTTTTTTCTATTTCTTTACCTTAACATGCAATAGTTTTTATCAAAAGGACTCATCATTCAGATAATCTACAGATGGGTGATGGCTGCTATTTCCATTTAAGGCTTGAACTATAACAATGCTAAAATTCCTTAGCAGATTCAGATTTATTTTTAACAGCATTATGTTGTAACAATACAATGTGGCAAACTTAATCTACTTGTACAATACAATATAGATGCATACATATACATATATAATTATAAATTTTGTGTGTGTGGTGAACTTTGTGCCTGACACCTTAATATAAGTGGGAAGTGAAGTTCCTCTGAACTGGAGAGCAGTGGAGTACAATGTACTTTCATTTATCTTCCAATACATTTCCTGTTTTTAGATATATCTACAGATACATTACAGAACAATGAACCATGCTTTATAAGGAGGGGTCAGTATGAATCAGAGGGGGTGATTCACTCTCATTCTAAGATTACTGCTACTGTAGTATATATGTCTATTTAATCCAGGGCTACCAACAAGTGATAAGCTTTACAATCTCCCTGTGTTGGGGTTAATTCACTTAATGATTATTATTTCTGACAATGTTTAATGAAATTGAAAACCACGCACGGTTTTAAATGACACAGCCAAGAAGTGACAAAATTTAATTCCTTTAAATCTAAAACTTCAGTTGTTCTTTTTTCTTTTATTGTTGGGTAACATAAATGATAAAAATGACCCTAACTGAAACTCTCATCCTTCAGGCAGTGTTAAACACATCAAACTATCTGGGTAATGGCAATCAAACCTATCAGACAGCAAAAATTAAAGTGACTTGCAGAGTAATATAGAACTGCTGGATTTAACTCTCGCTAAATTTATCATAGACACCTTGTAGTTTGGTTTTATATGACAAAGTCTCTCCGAATGACATTATGCAACTGTAATAGGAGACAATGTATATTTGTATAATCTGACACACTAACATAGAGATAATCCACATACCTGTCCTGAAGCACCAAAACACTGCTCCACATATGCTATACGTCGACCGTTGGCCTCCGATTGCACTACAAAATACAAAAAGATAAGATTAATTGAATATTAATCCTTCAATGTAAATTAATATGACTTTCCAAAATAAGGAGTTAAGGATAAACTGTAAGTCCAATAAATTAACAAAAAGGATTTTTTAATTATTACTTGACAAAATTAAAGGTAACAAAAACTAAGCTAAATTTAAAATGAATTAAATTGTAAGTACTGATAAGATTCATAAAATCCTGAAAACATCAGAGGCCAAATCAAAATAAATTGCACCTTAAAGGCACAAGATACACATAGCACTTCTACCTAAACAGTTACTCTAACCCAAAAGCATCAACTGACAAGGTATGATAAACTTAAGCCACTCACTAAGCAAGACATGACCCAACACAATCAAAGTACCACACATTAGAATTCCAAAGTAAGGTTATCATGATCTATTTTTTGAATGTCACCTTTCTAAATTGATTACCAATTGACAAGGATTTATGATTTTAGGCTTCATAATGTGCAAGATAGGACCAAACAATATTCTGAATTTACCGGTATTTACTTCCATTATTCTAAAATGAGGTCATTGTGACCTACTTTTGGTTTCAACACAACTCTCCCCCACACAGCTGTCAAAGAATGCAAGATCTGCCAATTCAATTTCTCCAAAGCTATATAATAACAAACTCCTTTTAACCCTGTCTCCCATTTAACAAGATTATCAACTTACAAAGTGTGATGATCCTAGACCCAATAAGATGACAGAGATGTCATAGGCATCAAAAAGCATGCAGACAGATAGATAGACAGAAAACACATCATAATATGACACATCAATGGACCATAAAAATTTCATATATTACATTACAAACATATTTATACATCAAATCATATTCAAAATTATTACTTTTAGTTTCATTTTACTTGAATGGAAAAAAAGTAATCATCTTATATGTAAAAGTAAAAAATAATTTTGTTTCTAAAGTTAGGATTAAACTAGAAATACCGGTATATCCATCATGTCCATAGGAATAGCTCTTGCCAGTTTGTATTATTTATGAAGTTTGATGGAAATATCTTGAATAGGTTCTTTAAAACTGAGCCTTAAATACAATAAATAGTAAAGTTTAAGGTCATAGGGAAGGTCAAGTTAAAAAAAAAATGGACACAATTGATAAGTTCTCACCAATAAGTATCACAGCATGAGTAGTGATAAATATTGATGAGAACTATTCAACTGTGCCCAAATGTATGACCTTGAACTTACTTTATTTTGCATTTAGCTATCAAAGAAACTATCAAAATGTCAAAATATTTTTATCTAAACACAAACACTGATACATATACATCTATGCACTAAGACATAGACATTTAGATAAAAATACAGTAAAACTTGTCTAATCCGGACACCATTGGTTCCAAAGAAATTGGCCGGATTAGAAAACATTCTAGATTAGACAACATCTCAAACAATTGAAATTCTGAGAGGGACTTAAAGTTTCCATTGTATTAGACAAGATGTCAGAATATACAACATCTGTATTAGACAAGTTTCACTTTACCTTGAATAGTTTCTTTGAAAATGGGCTGAATGCAAAATAAAGTAGTGAGGTCAAGGTCATAGAGAAGGTCAGGGTAAAAAAATTTGATGCAGTTGAACAGCTCAAATCGATCTGTATCAGTTATGAAGATTGATAAAAATATCTTGAATAGTTTCCTTCAAACTGAGCTAAATGCAATGTGTAAAGGATGGATAGACAGAAAGATTGACAAATGAATGGAAGGATGGACATTTCAAACACTATATGCCCCGGCCATAATCATAGGCAAAAAAATATATCATCTATGTGCAATAAACATTTGGATATAAAAATTAAACTAATGATAAACCTTCATCTGATACAGGAATTATGTAAATTTCAAGTGTCTCTATTGCTAAAATTAGTGCTGACATCCTGCTTGAATTGTTACTGTAAGCATTTCTGTGAAAAAATCTTTATTATCTTGTATAACAAACATACAGTGGTACTTCCTTAATTTTGCTGCGGTATTATCTTCACCGTTTATGTAATACATGTATGATGTCAACAAATAAAAAGTGGACAAAATTTTGAATTGATCAGGCAAATAACTAAAAATTAAATAACCAAGAGATTTTCTCATAACATTTCATGAAAAAAATTGGAAATTAAGAAAATTGATGGCACTGTTTTTTTGTTACACATTTGGGGTAAAACAGTCTTGCAATGTAAGTTTAAAAAAATTTGCATTCCAACATCTATGTTCTGGTCATGCTGTTTGGGGCTGTGGAAAGATAAATAATCAAGATTAGCAGTAAAATATATGTTTAATTAACGGATACAATGCTGTTGGCAGGGGAACACATATAAAACAAGAAATAATACGTGAAGTGTGCAACAAAAAAGTGATGCTGTAAATTGAAGGTTTTTCAAATGCTCTCTGGTTTTTCTCTCTGAGTCTTCTCCATCAGAGAGTTACAGTTCTGCATCTACAAGCTTATCTTTAAAACAAAGAGATAAGTGAGCTAGCACTGTAGTCATTATAATACACAGAAGTAGGTGTCTAAAACATTGGTTTATTTTGCCAGATCATTCATTTTAGACAGTGCAGCACTGGATTTGGGGGTGGGGGGGGGGTGGGGTGTCTCATTATGAAGCTGGACTGTGCTCCATGTAGACAATAGCATTACTGTGCAAACAACAACCGTAAGTCATTCACTGTAATTTCAAAATTAAAACACAGGAAATCAAAGATTACGAGGCTCACCTCGGCAAATGTTATCTATAATGCAAATCTCATTCCATATTTTTTTCTTGTTAGTGTGCATCTCAAGATCAATATCCATGCAAGTTTGGTTTAAGTAGGAATTATAGTTACTTGGAAATAGACCTGCTCCTAAAACTTTAACTGTTCACTCATCCAGAAAATGTAGATCAGTTTCAATAACCATTTAGCAAGTCTGGTAGTGTCCATCCTTAGATGCATCATTCATCCAAGTTTAATCATAACAGGTCATATAATTATAGAGCTACTCCAAAAACATTACCCTGGTCACTCATTCGGAAATGTAGGTCAAATTTAGCATCTGAAGCAAGTCTGGAAATGTCCATTCCTATAGATACATCATCCTTGATAATTTGGTTAAAGTATGGCTAAAATTCACTCATCTGGAAAATAAAGGTCATATCCAGCATCTGAAGCAGGTTTGGTAGTGTACATCTCTAGATGCATCATCCATGCAGGTTTGGTCCATGTAGGGCTTATAGTTACTTAGGAATGGACTTGCTCCTTAAACTTTAACCAGGATGCAGACACTAATGCTGATGCCGGGGTATAGCATAAGCTCATCTCGACTTTGCAACCAAACTTGCTTTATTAGAAATTGTCTAAAAGTGTATTATTCTGTTGTTGTTGTTGTTTTTAAAGAAGCTTTTAAAAACACATGGTCCAGTTGCTAGGATTGGACTACTGACTCTTGGATTGTGGAGGATTTGTTGTGCGGAGATAATAGTTTTGACAGGCAGGATTGGTGATTAATAAAAATTTTGATTTCCTCAAAACCTCTCTTTTGTTTTATTTCTGAATGATTTAATTCTGGTTGTAATGCTGTATTTGATTGGATAAAAAATTTACTTTATATCGTATAAATTGGGTTGCCTATGTCACAATGACTTGCGTCAAAAACGTATCAATCCGCCTGACGTTACATTCAAATTTTATACAAGTTGAAGTCAATTTTTAAGGGTAATCATCTTTTTTTCTTATACCAAATGAATGAAAATTAAATTATAAGGAATGAAATTAATAGCAACCCAATTTATACGGTATAAACTGGGTTGGAACAGTTTACGTTTTTTTTTATAAACCGCTTCACAGTTTATAAAGCGTAAACTGCCCGAACCCAGTTTATACCGTATAACATGGGTAGCTATTAAATTCATTCCTTTAATGATGAACATGAAATACATCAGAACACAGATGTTTATACATGTAACTAACACTAACATGTCCGGAAAATTGGATTGTATATTGAAGAAATAATATTGCTAGTTTTTAGTCACTACTGATACCGGAAATAATTTAACTAATACAAGTGGTTTATATTAATAAGATGAAGTAATCGTAAATAAGATGATTTACACACACGCAACAGAAAAAGCATCACGGCAGCAGAATATAAACTCATATATTAGGGAAACTTGATTTACAAAAAGTAAATTCTATATCTCTGTTCATCAGTACAGAAATTCGGCGATTAACTAATTGAGTCAAAGGCAAGCACATTTTCATGAAAATTTATTTTGGGTCTTAAGTAGATTTAAAGTCGATCAGAGGTTGAATTCGGGTTAAGAGAAATATTTTATGTTGTTGTTATTCTGAGTGAGGCGCGCGCGGGGGTGTGTAAGGGGGGGGGGTAGTAAAAATGTACAATAACTTTTTTGACTTTACATTAATTAGTTAACAGAATTTTATTTGAAAATTTGAAAACTGAATGTGAAAATAAAGCATTACTCAAGAATAAAAATTATCAGAGAAAAACGACACTTATCAAAAACATACTTGCTGCATACACTCTAAGGAATGTCAAAAAGTGTGGTTTTAATATATTTCATGATAGTTCATTTCATTTCTTAAAATAAGGTAGCAATGCTCAATAAATGTATAACTTGTATAATTATACTGTAAAAAGAAATATTGTTTTCTTATAATTTCATAAAGTATTATCTGTTATTTGGATTTTAAAATACATTGCATCATGTCATGAAATTGACATTAGAAATAAATGGAAATTTAAATTTCTGTTTCTAAATAGACATTTCATTTTTTCATCACTAAGGCAATACCCATTAGCTAAGCTTGGAAAACCATCAACTCGTATCAGTCCTATCAGTACTTTGATTAAAAGAAACTTCTGATAGCATACAATGGTCACGTGACGGCAACTTTTCTTAAATCATTTGTTTCCTACCTCGCTTCAGCGACAAACTTTGAAAAAATAAAATATCCCATG